CCTGTTTCCCCCCCCACCCCCCCCCCCCCCCACACACACACAAAAATAATATCTTCTAAGTACCAGCATCACGACCGATATTAAAAATCCGCATTAGCCCTATGTGTGTACATAATAAATGTTAAAATAACTTTCAAGACATATAATAGATATTTTCATCCATCTCCACAAGGATCGCGCGTGGGTGCTGGAGCCTATCCCAGCTGTCTTCGGGCAGCTGAATCGGTTGCCCGCTAATCGCAGGTCACACATAAACGAACAACCATTCATGCTCACACTCACACCTAGGGATAATTTTAGAGCGTTCCATAAACCTGCCATGCATGTTTTTGGAATGTGGGAGAAAACCCACGCAGGCATGGGGAGAACGTGCCACACAGGGAGGCCAGAGCAGGAATCGAACACTGCACTCTACAATGTGAGGTCGCCGCACTAACCACTGGATCACCGGGCTGCCATAGATAGTTCCATTCATTTTAATTTGTAACGTTTGGTTGTATGTCATGTTTTAAATCTTTTTTGTTTGTTGTTAAATTAAAAAAACTCAATGAGAAAAATGATTGATTTTATTTTAACGTAATTTTTGCCACATACACAAAGCTTTGTATAAAATTGTCACCACTCGAAAGCAGCACATATTTCATAATTCTATTTTGATGAATTTAAATAGTTCCACATCAAACATTGAGAGAGAAAAAAAACCTCATGCAAATTCCAACAAACTAGCACTCAGTGGACAAATATGAACCAGCATTGGATATTATTAAAAACTTGAGCTGTTTAAAATTGAACATTGATGGCAAAGCTTCTGTTTGGCCTTTCAATAAATAACAGAGCATAGTGCATAGGTGTCAAACTCAAGGCCCGGGGGCCAGATCGGGCCCACCCCATCATTTTATGTGGCCCGCGAAAGCAAATCAAACATGTCAACTTCCATGATGCTTGCTAAAATCTCTACCAAATTTTAAAATTCTCATATGTAATAAATAAGAGACACATTGTAAGCATTTTCTTTGTAGCCAAAACCCTCATTACAGAAATTTAAACAATCGTTGAATAAACCGTTATTGACTTTATAAAATTTGGTTTCAGTCATAACGGCCCTCCAAGGGAAACGGTAAATGAAATGTGGCCCATGACAAAAATGAGTTTGACACCCCTGGCATAGTGAAACAAGTAACAGAAATGTCTAGCAATGTCGGTAAACACGGGGTAAGCTTGTGCATCAGGTTTGAAGGTAACAAACGTCTCTTACTATTATGCATACAATTTCACAGAAATATTTGTCACAGCATTAAAAGAGCTATTTTGACTTGAATATAAAACACAGCGTTTACATTTAAACTTGAGGCAGAACTACAAATGTTTACCCTTCAGGAAAATGCTAAAAAGTGTTTTGTGAACTTGAGAATACGGTACAACTGTCTGGAGTGGATTCAGTTTTTTGGCAGGGAGAAGTATCACTTTCTTTTCAAGGAAGACCGACTCCAGCTCCTTTGGTAGTAGATCTTCACCTCTCAAATTTCCCTTTTACAACCTTGCCCACACACATTGCTTCCGTATTATCCGAAAATCTTTCACAAGCACTCCCCACATTTACTACTTTCAAGATCACATCCCGCGACCACGATCTGTGTGTGTGACTTAATCAGGGTGCACATTCAGTTGCTCCTTGGCTTCAATCAGTCAGGTGGTCGGTTGTAATTGAAACGTTTACTGCAAAGGACTGAATTAAACTTCCACAGCAGGCCGTAAGGGAATACAGCCATCCATCTCCAGTGACTCTGGCCATCCTTCGTATTTGTTGCTGCTCTTACTGTTCTTCATCCGCTAATGGGAACGACAAACCAAACAGATCTGATGTCAGCAACATGGAAAGATGAGCTTCTTACTGACAATGGAGCGACTGCTTGCATACAGAGTGCTGATGGTACGTAGGAAATGGTTGTTTTTGTGACAAATGAAATAAGCACAACTACTATAAATACATCCATTTAAATGCAAATTAAGGACATTGTCCACTAATTAACAAACTTGTAATTTACACCTAACCTAGGTATAATTTCAAGACCACTCTTTGTTTACTGGCTATTTTTTTAATTTCTTTCAAAATGTTGCAGTGCATTTAGAAAGCACCTTGGGATCACTGTAAGTCACATCCACAGGCAATAATGCAACGTCATGAAGTGAAAAGGCCATTACATTATCTACAGTGTGTGGCTGTATGTACGTTACTGACACTAGTATTAACACAGTTTGAAAGTGTACCTGTTCAAATGGACTCTTGTTGTCGATGCCCTTGGCACCAACAAACACCCAGCTGTCCCGAAAAGCTAATTCCTTGACGGCAGTGCTCCCGAGCTCCTCAAAGAGTCGCCGAGACTCTGCATTCAACCTGACAATGAAAAAGGTGGGGGGAAAGCTATTTGATTGAGATTGGCATTTAGAACGGCTGTGGTGAGATGCAGGATGAAACAGGAATTGGATTCTGAATGTTGCTCATCAGTGTTGATGGGCAGTTTGTCTTTTATATTTACTATGTCTATCCATTATCCCCTCAACTAATATAGATTAATGCAGTGAGGAACGCAGAAAAATGAATGCGGACTCAAAACAGACACCTGGGGTACTCCACAGTGTACTACAAAAGAGGGTGACATAAAATTATCGACAGTGTAAGATTCCACTCATACAAGTATAAACATTACTTTGTAGCTGGATCATCAAAGGAGGCCACAAACACCAGTGTTCCCTCGTGGAGCGGTCGGAGATATTTCAATAGGTCAGAAACATCTGAGGACAAACGTCACACAAGCTATTAATTGGTCTTTCAGAGCCATTTGCACCTGATAAGATGTTGACAGTGGCACCTTGAAGATGGAACACCCCAAAAGCTAAACAGTTTGGACTTCAACCCAAATTTGCAATAAAATATACCGCAAACTTCAAGAGTGAGTGAGTGTTTCAGGATCATGATAGCCACATATGATCGCCAGTAGTTAGGTGGATGACTGTCTACTTCCTGACGCTACTAGCGGGACAAAGCAAGCATCACACATTCACTATATACAGGTCACATATATTGTGTTTTATAACAATACTCAAAAACATTTATCATTTCATATGTACCTTTGGGTGAAATAGCGAAGTTTGTGGTCAAAATGTATATAAGTGGTAAATACCGCAGTTTTCATTTATTTTTTAAATCATATTAACAGATTAATATTAGATGTGATCACTTCTGATTATGCTTGTATTATAATTGATGTTGCCTGTATAAATAATGAACGTTCAATGGCAGTGATAATTTTACAGTTTGAGCCCTGCGAGTCCTAGGGACTCGCTGATCAGAAAAGTATGAGTCCCATTATGCATTTAGAGAGTCCCAAATTTCGAATTCTGAAATGGTCTACTTATTCAATTGCATATGATAAGAACATAAACAACTACAATATACATTGATAATAGGCTTATTTCTTATAAACCAGAGGTGCCCAAACTTTTTGGACCTATGATCGACTTTTCGTTCAACCAACCTCCTGGGATCGCCCCTTACCGCACGCACGCACGCACGCACGCACGCACACGCGCACACACACACACACACACACACACACACACGCACACACACACGCACACACACACGCACACACACACGCACACACACACGCACACACACACACACACACACACGAGCACGCACGCCATGATGAGAAGCCAAACACGGAAGCAAGCGATGCACTTTTGCAGCCTGTTGACAACCCTAGCTCACACGTACCGTTTTTAAAGTGCTTCCCTCAGCCCTCTAGATTCCTATTCTTTGCCCGTGCCTTCGGTGAATTGTACACAAAGCAAACTCTGAATGAGAATAATGACAATCAAAGATATAGCGCAACAGCCCTGATCACAAGCTGCAATTGTAGACTGCTGAGAGCTAACAACTTCCGCTGACGTAGTCACGCGCCCACGTAGGTTAAAGATTTACCTGCTTTATTTAATTATATTATTAAAATATTTTTTGGGGAAAATGAGACTGATAGGATGATTAGGGTGCAGTGTACATTAACACAAAAAATATATTACTAACATGTACAAAGACACAATTTTTTTTTTTTCCTCCTCTACACCTTTCGAATCTAATTGGGACGAGTCCTAGATCTACCGGTCGATCAGGATTGATGTAATGGGCACCCGTTATAAACAAATGCTGCAAAATTAAAATAATTCAGGCATACAAGATTTGCTGAGAAATAGGTTCTTATTTCATCCCATGGTTCAGTCTTTGAGTTCATAAATTCTCCTCTCTTTAAGCTGCTTCCAATGATGCAAGGCTTTCTCAACTTATTCTCGCAAAAAACTGTCCAACTTTAGCTGCTTCCTCTGTGATATCTCTGCAATAAACTTTTGCAACACTTGTTTTAACATTACACAACTTGGCAATCCGATCTCGCCAATCTCGTCTCGCGAGAACGGAAATCTCATCACGCGAGATTACTTAACACGAGATCAAAACAACAATGGCGGCGATTGTCAAACTGCGATCGTTGCTGGAAAAAAAGATGTACCATTGTTTTTTTTTTTTTTTTTGGTTTGACTGAGAAATTTCCTTGAGTCCCAAAAATGCACATTATTTGGAACTGTGTGTCCCGCGGGAAAATTATGCGTCTCGGACGCGGGATGCAGAGGTAACGAGATGGCTGCTATGGTGCAGAGTTCAGTCTTTGATTGTCATCATGGAACTGAGTGTAGTGGAACTTTTCACCGTATACCTGAAAATGTCTTTTTTTTTTTATTACCTCCTGCCCACATGTCAAAGGTCTTTGTTTCCAAAGGTTCGCCTGTCACCCCTGAAAAATGAATACAAAAAGTGTGTGAAAATGACTACCAGGTGCGCAGCATAGTCAGAAACACTTGATTCATCATACCATTCACCAAAGCAATGTTTAATCCTCTGCCAACGTTGTTTTTCACGCTGCTTAATAACCTGTGAGTAAGTGAGACAGTTAGGTTAAACCAAAATACTTACTTTGCTAAAGCCTTTCCAACCCTGGCAAAAATACAATCAGGGAAAAAAATATCACTGTGGAGGACATAAAAATACTTGAGTGTGATCCAAAGGAGCATGGGACAGGCGAAAAGAGTGTACATGCTTCCAGCACCCCAAAAGACACAGCACAGAAGGAGCTCAGGGGGGGACAGTGTGAAGCAAATTACATCCAAGTGAGATAACAGGGAATACAAAGGAAACAATAAGCAGCAAATCTCACATCTTATCCTCCAGACAGATTTTGGGCCCAATGACGTTGGCAGCTCCCGATACGAGGCGGAAAGCCAGATGTTTGGGGGGGCATGCTGCTGAAAGGCCGCATTTATACCTTCGTGGTCGAACTTCAGCTTAAAAAAGAGGCAAAAAGATCACAATGTTACTTGCAGGGGAGGAGACGGGAGTTCTGACCCATCCCGAAGACGATGACATCATCCTGCGAGTGTTTGCATTACAAACCTAAGGTCCCCCAAGAGGGAGGCTTCTTTTGTTAAAAACAACTGCTTTAGATACACTTCATCACAACATTTTCCTTCGCTGCTTGCAATACACCACTTGCACTTTCATTGAAATAATCAGTTGTGTTACATTCTGCTTTTGAAGAATTAATCATCAACACATATGAATGAGTATGGCAAAAAAGTTCGAGGGTCCACCAGACAGAAAGAAAAGGTTGGGAACCTGCTCTACACGTTCCCTGGGCAATATCATTAGCAAACATCGGATATCCGACTACTGTTATGCTGATGACACAGACAAAAAAAGATAAGCCCCACTTCTGTTGCTGTCCTGCCTACATCCACACTGACCACTTGCCTGGTGGAGACATACAATAGAGTAGGTGTGCTCAAGTCCAGTCCTCGAGAGCCTGATTGGGATGTCTCCCTTCTCCAACACATCTGATTCAAATGATCAGCTCACTGGCAAGCTTCGCAGAAGCCTTAAAGATCCTGATCATCTGAATCAGGTGTGTTGGAGAAAGAGGTATAAAAAAGGCTGGATAGGAGCGCTTCAGGACTGGACTTGGGTACCACAGTTGTAGATGGCTGATTGAAACTAAGGCTACGTTCACAATGCAGAGTGTGATACCCAATTCAGAATTTTTTTATTAAATCAGATTTTTGAGGTGCTCGTTCACATTCCTAGAACAAACGTGACTTTAAAAAAAAGCGCAGACTGGGCTTTTAATATGACGTATGGGTCGGATGTGTGCAGATGAGCGTGCAGACAGCATCCCATTTATATCCACATGCAAAAGAGGCCCAGGTTGGATTTGGGGGAAAAAAAAAAAAAAATCAGAATTGTACACTGCATGAAAATATCAGACGTGTCGCATTTGGGCAAAAAACTCATAACTGAGCTCGAGTCTGAACAAAGCCCTAGCCTTCCTTCAGTTAGTTGAACTGTTTCAAAACAGAAGCCATCCATCGTCATCTGGCATTAAAAAGGCCCTCAACTCACCTCTGCCACCCACATCAAACACCTCCGCAAGACATTCTACCTCCTCACACAGCCTGCGAGCCCCCAGAAACAAGGTCGCTGCAGACCATGTATGATTGGGTCTTCTCCTCTGCAGCTCCTAGGCTGCAGCGAACACTCACTCACCACCTGAGGGGCCCACAGACTACAAAGGTGCAAAAATACCTTAAAACTGTCCTTTGACAAAAGAAGTAGGCTAAATGTTGTTTTGGGTTTCTGATAATTTGAAAATTGTATCCAATTTTATTTATTCATTTATCTTTTAAATTTCTTCTCTGCAGCAATTTGAGTGATCTCAAATTGCTGCAGAGAAGAAATGTAAAGTGCAATCCAAATAAATGTGTTTTTATGATTTTGAACATATACAAACTAGTGCCACATCCGTACCATGGGTTGGTTCCTGGCTTGCACCTGAGAGAGAGAGGAAGAGAGAGAGAGAAATCACATAAGAAGGGGCACAGGTCCATTATTCTGTTTACACAACACTGGAAACTATTCAGTAGTGATGGGCAAAATGACATGGGACTTCAAAGTTTGTGTTAAGTAAAAGTGGGTGTCGAAAATAAAGCCGTGTGTTCGTGACATTATTGTCACATGACCAGGGGAAACAGACGTCTCGTTTGGGGTGTGCGTATAGAGTGGAAAATGTGACATAACCAGGTAAAACGAGTGGTCGCATTCGCTAATGACGTGTCACAGGGTTTTAATCTGGCGAGTTGAGGGGTTCAGAAGGAGAGGGAGTCATTAACTTTGATCAGAGAGATTGTGAGGAGTATTGTTTTGTGAGTTATTAATCTTGAGTTGGTTATTAAATTCATTTATTTTGTCAGTTGGGTAGTTATCCAATCATTTGTAGACCCAGAGAGAGAAAGTTGATGTAGAGTCAGTCACACAGCGAATACAGTTATCCGTAGATAAATAGTTGAAATTCAGTCATTCAGTTTAGTTGCAGTGTAGTGTGTACAGAGCATTATGATTAGTCAAACAATGACTGAGAAGGACAAGGACTGGGCAGATGAACTGAACCGTTTTTTCAACCGTTTCGACCAGACGTCTGTCCCTTCCCCCAACCACCAGCTGCACCCACTCTCACTGAGGACTTCTTCTCCTCCGCCTCCTCTTTCGACCAGCTCTCAACAACCCTGTCTGTCACCTGGTTCCTGCCTGTCCGTCACAACAGAGCAGGTGAGGAACCAACTGAGGA